CCAGAATTATCTAATGGAACTTTTCTAAAATGATGGCAATATTATACAATACAGCATAGTAAAGACCGATATAGAACATATGGCTGCTAAGCACTTATATAATTGAACAATTGCATTTTCAGTTTTAGCTAACTTAATTTATACTTAAATGTTGAAGACCATTATATTGGACAGTTCAGTGGCTACTGTATTGGACAGTGCAGCTGTAGTATATAAAGAAGACACAGTAAATATGACTTTGGATTCAAATTTTACCATGTTTAATTTAAATTAGAATACTTACTTTTTAGATTTTATATGTGGATTCCACTACCACCAGGCTGGAGGTGGATTTTCATGTGGATCTTTTGCTTGTATATCTAAAGTGATGGATGTTCTGAACAGATACAGTATCTGCTTATAACTGATTATGAATTCAAGAGAAATAAAGATAAAAGAACATAAAGAGGCTCCTTTCTAAGTAAGCTAACCTGCCTTCAAGAGAAGGAAAGAAAAGAAGGACATCCAGTAGGGATCTGTGTAGGGATCAAAAGAAAATAATCATTTTAACTGTTCTGTAATCTCTTAGGTATCTAAGGAGGTAAGTGTTAATACTTGACAGATTAATGCATCAGGGTAATTTGACACCACAAAGCAAATATTTCTTAATATTTTTTAGGTATCAACCAAACCTAACTAGATTTTTTCCCTGTATTTATGCCTTTCCCTCCTTTTTGTTTTGTACTTCATTCAATTAAGTAGTCTCTGTCTACTTACTTGACTCGGAATCTAGAAAGTAAAGCCTTTGGTTTCTAACAGCTTAAGCCTCAAAGTGAAGAAAAAGTTTCTGGATAGAATAAAGTGTCTTGGTTAGAAAGATAAATGTAAAATCATCCCTAGACCAATAAATTAGGTCTTCTGGGTTAGACTAGAGGGTTAAGCAAAAGGTAAAAGAAGTACATTTCCTGATATCGAAGAGGATCTAGTCTACTTTCTGCTACAGTCGTCGGAGTTTAAGAGTATAAGGTAGAGTCTAGACTGGAAAATAAAAAAAATTACTATGTTCTAATCACTAACTTCAGTGTAATTATTTTTTCCACATAGCCATATAGCTATCATTCATTAAATTAGTATGACTGTCAGGTGCTAGGTACTGCACTAGGTTCCCTGATGGCAATAAATGTCTGCATGATCCATCCTGGCAGACTGGAACATGCCCAATCTGACAATATTCCTATTGCCCAGTTTTATAATAAGAACAAAAGTTAGCAGCTGAATCTGCATATGTTATGTCTGTGTCTCACAGGTAATCATTGGGCACGTATTTCTCAATGGCTATAGAAGCTTCCCTTCAATGCCTTGGCACTGAATAAGTATCCCCCTTCCCCTCAACCCCAGCTGACACAAAACTGGGGGTGCAGTGAACTATTCAATAACTGACACTATGTTTTCTTCCAGCCAGTCATAGGGAAGTATCAAACTGAGTTTATATTACATTATAGGAATAGAATTACATGTGTAACACACTGGAGTTGGTCTGAGACTCGCATTTCATATGCGGAGGGAGAAGGCTCATTGAGGACTTCATACTATGAGTGTGTGTACCTCAGATTATGGCAACCTATAAAATATGCACCAAAATATTTTGAAACAATGGCAGTGGGAAAAAAGGGTATGAAAAAACCAGCTGCATTTTCAGAAATCATTGATTATTTTAGAGCTACGTAATTGTAACAAGATGATAAGATTTATGATAAACTTCAGAATGCTTCAAAATTCATGACCCAATAAAGGAGGTTCAGCCAAAGGAAGGAAGATGAGTGAAAAGAGCTGATGAAAGTAAATTTTGTATAATTTTATATAAATTTTA